CCCAGCTTCATCCTTTTAAAGCACTTAGGAATTAATTAAATCTCCAACAGCTGGCTAGGCCTGGTGAGACCTATAATCATCCCCTTGTCTCTCTAAACCTTAGCTGGAAGTGATGCCAGATTTGCTACTGTGTCAGTTACATCATAATGTGTCAACCAAACCCTCCGGAATCTATCCCAGACTTTCCTAGAGATCTCCTCTGTTGCTTGTCTAGATCTGAACTGGCCGTCCTGGTTTTTTATGTTCAGCTCAAGTGATACACTATGTTAGCACTGACGTTACATGTGGTAGTTTGGGTTTATGGTGTTACAGCTATTGTACCTGTGCCTGAAAAAACCTAGTGTGCCCATAAAGGTCTAGATGCACTGAAGGTGAACTGAGGTAGCCTTATCTCCCACTTCCATGTGTTTCCATTTTAAAACCATTTTATTTTCAAGGCCACAGAACCGATTCGGGCACTTGACTTAACTGAATGCTCAGCCGTGCAGTTTGACTATTCCCAGGAAAGAGTCAATTGTTTCTGGTAAGTTGCTGTGCTTTCCCTGACTTGCTGGGAAGGTGAGGATAGCCAGGGAAGTTTGAAATGTAACCACTGGGTGCTTCTGAAAGCTTCCTTACTGGTTGCCACCCTGCTCTTCCTCTAACTCATGAGTCTGTTTCTGTCAGCCAGCCTCTGTCCGTCCTGCATGGCTTTGCCAAATTGCTGCAGGCAAAAGGGTTTTTGCTTGGTGAGGAGGAAGGTTGTAGGCCTATGTGTAGTGGTCATTTCTTTTCCTCATTCTGTAAGCATGCATAATAATCACCTAGACCCATGGAGCTTAGGTACTATCCGGTTCCCAGTTCAGACGTTGCTACGGGTCACACAGTAACTGCTTCTGTGCCCAAGTGTGGGTCTTCTGTCCTTATGGGCCTGTGGCAGCGTTTCACCAAGCTGTAAACTGTTCTTGGCCAACCTCCTTCCTGGTGACTGAACCGGAGCACGGCCTCCTTGCCCTGCTCTGTCTAAACAGCTCTTGGTGCAGGCCGGCTGCCTTCAGTTTTAGGAAAAACCACCAGTTGTTCTAGCAATTTAAGAAATATTTTTAATTGTTTACTTACAGTTTAGTGTTCCCCCTAAGGACATACTACCTGTGCGCCAAAACTGGAATTGAAGCTGACGAGTGGATTAAAATACTGCGATGGAAACTGGTAAGGTGACGTGCAGTGTTAGGCGGCTGTATGCCTCCGGCAGCAGCACCCTTGGTGCTGCCATCATAAACCCTCACCCCAGTGCTGCAGTTGTCAGTGTCTGTGAGCAGGGAGCGCTTGTTCTGGCTTCCAGGCCAACTAGACCAGGATACATAACGTATATGCCTGCAAACCCACTTTAGCATTGTCGGGGTGCACTTTTAACACACATACTCACTCATTAGGAAGAAGAAATTACTTCCATTTTTAAGGATGTCATTCTGTAGATGGTAAACAGTATGGAGCAGCAGTGCAGACTGCGTGTGTCGGGTCATGACGGAAGCAACGGGAAGACAATGTAAAGGCTTGAAAGCGTTACTTCCTTAGCTGTACCAGTATTTGGGTTGGTTGCACTCCCCAGCATCCACATGCATGCAGGCAAACAGTAACGGGTTGTCTTTCTGTTCCAGTCACAGATACGGAAGCAACTGGAGCAGCATAACACCACCCTCAGTGCCTAGCTGCACCTCCAGTGCTTCTGCTCCCTGGGCAGGGGCTGCTGCCTCTTTGCCAAGGGGGAGGCACCGCTGACAAGAGGAGGGTTTCACATGTCTCCATTACTCACAGCGGACACGCGTGTGTACCCGCACATGGACGCTTGCACCCAGCTCTACACACACGGGATTCGTACAGCGGGGTGCTCGTGGGCTGCTGAGTCACATGCGGGGACAGCTGCAAAGTCAGTGTTGGTTTGATACGCCTGGTCTATGCCTGTAGTGCACACTTCATTCCAGCACCTGTTACCTACTCACGGAAGTAGTCACTGTTTAAAACTTTTGCGGTTATTCAGAGCACTCTTGATAATTTATGGCAAGCTCCATCACACCTAACCATCAGCAGCATATTCTGTAACCCTGAGCCTGTTATTTAAAACCAGTCCTTTCTGGAAACATTAAAATATTTCTTTTGTATCAACTGTTTAGGCTCTAAGCCAAAAGAAAAATGACAGAGGTAATTACATTTTTGTAAATAGTATCTATATTGCAACCCAGAGAATATTTCAAGGCCCTTTTTAAGACGATGGACAAGTAACACTTGTTTCTGGTCAAATATGGTTTTGTATGGTTTAGGTTTGTATCGCAGCGACGGGTACAAGTGAACGTTTGTTTCAGACAGCATCTGTAGGTACCTGAGCAGCATCCAGTGAGCACGCTCGCTTACAAACTGGGATTATGAGAGAGAGGCAGCTCATGTGGCAGGGCTGCCATGGGCCCCTAAGGATGGGCAACAGGGCCCCACAGAAGGCTTTGCCTGTGGCAGCCACCAGCGTTGTCGGTAGCATTACGAGTTGGGCCCCTCACAGTCCCCCTTGAAATTGGCCTGGATTTTGTATTTTTAACTCACGCAGAGCACTCAAAATGAGGTTTTGTCCAGAACTATGTTGAGAATTAAGCATTGCTTGCTTTATATTAAACAAAAAGCACACATTGAAAATGTGAATTTAAAAGAATACGTCTCCTACATAACCTGATGGAAATGTCCATCTGCATTTTGGAAGACTCATACAGATGTAACAGTGTGGTGGCTTGCTGCAAAGTTGAGAAGCCCAGTACTTTGGTGCTCTAGCCAAACTAGATGTTACATTTTGGAAGCAAGCTTTGACACACTGGAGGGTCCCAAGACCAGCTTGGCCTGACCTCAGGGCTGACCCAGCTGCAAGAGCCCCTGAGCCATCCTGCTCATCCTGGAGGGGTGGGGAAAGAGGGGAGGCCTCCATCTTCCTGCATAACAGTCAAGTTTCTGCTGAAACAGCGTACGCAAACCTCTCCCCCTGCACAAGTGCTGTGGTGGAGGGGCTTGGCATTGCTCTCACAGCAGGTCGGTGTTCAATAGATGCCTTCACTGTGCAGAGACAGAAGAGGAGGGGAAAACGTGCTGAAAGACTGAAAAAAATCTAGATTTGAACGTAGGAATAGCATTTTATTTCAACTTAGAAATTCAAGATATTCGTAAATATTTTTATAGACTCTTTTCTGAATAAAATGTAATTATAAAACTACCAAAGGTCTGCTGTATTCTGGACTCTATGCCGTTAAAGCTTTATCCTCCTTTTTCCCTTAAAGAAGTGGTTTAACAAACTGGCATCTCCCATTTAGTTAAAAAGCTTTGATGAGTTCACATGAGAGGCAGCGTAAGGGGAAGAGAGAGATGATACTCCCCCAGCAGCATCACTGTTCTGTAAAAACAGCTTGGAAACGAAACCTGAAGCGTGCCCACAAAAGCAGCCTTCCCTTTTTCACGCGAGCGGGCTGCGTTACAAACCGTTAGAGGCAAGATCAGCAGGTGGCGTCGCGAACTGACACCAGTAAAAGGAAGGGCACGGGGCTGGCCTGGGAAGCCGTCGCAGAGGAGCAGGACAGGAGCGAACAGCACGAGCAGGCTGCAGGTGGAACACAAATGCTTTTTGCCAGAAACAAACATGGAGACGCCTTGGGGCTCCGTTTCCAGCTGTTTGTGTAATGGCCACCAACACCAGGAGCTCAGTTTAAAGGGGAAGGGGTCAACCAACAACTGTTCATCTCCAAGAGCATTTCTGAGCCAAGAATTCCCATCCCTCGTGTCCAGCACCACTATTACCCCCCACCCTGCCTGGCACTGAAGGTGGGCGAGGGATGAGCAAGGCGGCAGTGATACCCCCTTTCCCAGCCAGAGGCAGGGACCTGCCACAAGTTCTGCCTTAGACCAGTGGCGCTTGGCTTCGGTGCTGGGAGCCTATGCTGCCATCATCACATGGGAAATTGGGAAGGAAGGGGGGCCAAAGAGCACGGCATTGATCCCCAGCAGCAGGCAGCACTAACTGCTGCATCGGCACAGTATCCCTGTTGCACCACTGAGAGACCCACTCGTTAGTTTTCAGCCTGTGAACTGGATTTTGTGCGTTTACAAACAACTGAGAGACCTGTTCTTGCCGCAGAAAAGCTGATGTGCTGTAGAGTACTACGGTGTAACAGAAGAGTGGATCAGGCTCTGTCATTTAAAAATATTGTATTTTATTTATATTTATTTACTTAGGAAAACCTAAGGGTAAATGAGCTGAGAGTGTCACCAGTGATGAACCCACACAGAGACTATATGAGACACAAGATCTTCACAACCATGTTACAGAAAACCCCGTGAAGAAGTGAGACGTTTGGGTGCTTTTATCTGGGCAGCAGGAAAACCCCTAAAACAACAGCTTTCATAGAAACAGCTTTCTTCTTAGTGGAAGCAGGATGCAGCTAGCATCCAGATGAGTAGCATTCCCTTGCCAAAGAATCACCCACGTAAGAAAGCTGGGATATTTATTGATTGTACCGACACCGCTGCTAGTAAACTTGCTCTCACAATACTCTTTCAACCACATCTTTGATAACACTTTACAACCAATCTGCTTTCTGACACATGGCAGTAGCTGGCCTGAGGATACACCCCCCCACCATGTGCCCAGTTCCCTGTAAAGCAAGAGATCTGTGGGTCGCTTATTGGAGCCAAGGGCATCAGGCCGACCTGGCTTAGCTGGCTGAGCTAAACTCCATGGGAGCTATTTTGGTGGTCTCTCCAGTACTGCACAATACAAGAAGCTTGGCCTAAAGTAACATCCACCTACAACACACTAGTACATCATTTCAGATTCAGTACTATGTACAATTTACTCTTACTTAGTATACTGAGGAGCTGCAGTATTTCTTCTGAGATGTGTTACTTGACTGAGGATTATTGAATCTTTCTGTCCACTGGGCTGCAGAGGGATGCTGCGCTCCGGCTATACCATCCGGTTAGGAAACTTCAACAACCTGCCTCAGTTCTTCGAACAGGGGCGCGAGCTCCTTCTCTAAACTTACAATCAGCCCTGGAAAGAGAGAAGAGACAGAACATCCCACCAGATGACATAACTAGGAAGCCTCCCTCCAACTCCGCAGCTCCCTCCCCTCCTGGGTCACAGGCAGCACACAAAACATTTCGCTCGAGCAGCTCGCTCTCCATGGGAATAGCGGGCAGTGCCCCCAGGCGGGGCGCCCACAGCCCCCTGCACCAACAGGGGCACGCCCCGTGCAGCACAGCACTCCCCCGTGCTGCCGCCTCTCTCCTTCCCCCAGACCCCGAGGCCCGAGCAGCTGTGCAAGAACCAAACCCCTTCTGCTGGCGCTCCTCAGCCAGCGCCCTGGTGAGCAGGACAGGTGCCTGGCTGAAGGACCACCCCACCCCACCAAGCTGGTAAGGCAAAGCCACATGTGCTACTGCAGAACGTAGCTCGGAACCGAGGGGAAGAGACCCAACAACTGGTTTGTATGGTACAATCACCGCCGGTGTGGTGAACACTCTCATGCAGCAAGGGTAAGGTTAGTCACAGGAGAAACATGCTTCCGAGAGGAACAACTTCAGCAAGTCACCTAAAATCTACGGATTTTTACTGACACCTTTCCCTTCTCCCCGTCACAATACACTGACAAAATTCATAGCAGGAGCAAAGTTAATACACCTTGAAGTAAATTTGGGTAATTTATTTTCAATTATTTAAACACCTGGGCCTTAAAACCCTGCAATACTTAAAACACAAGTGAAGACATACCAGTATTGGCACTGCTGCTAGCAATGAAGCTTACTACCAAAGGCAGGCGGTTGAACTGCACCACCTGCAAGGAGAGAGAACAGCCGTCAGCCAGCAGCTAACACATGCTGGATGTCGGAGCTCTGCCACACAAACTCTGAAACAAGCCCCCGTCTCCATTTGAAGGCCAAGCAGGAGCAAGAGGCACAGAGCTGACGTCTCAGCACATCTGCTTCAGAAGAGTCACAGTTAAAACCACCAACAGAACTCACTTCACAGTACAGGGAGCTGCACCTGGGAACCCTGGCACTTCCCTCCCTCCTGTGTTCTGCCACATTATCCACCCCACACCTAACTCAGCTGCAGAGCGCACTACGGCAACTACGCTCTCCACAGGTAACAAGGCGGCAAGCAGGTTTGTTGGTCTAAAATAGTGTTCTGTGCCCAGCAGTATCTCCTCTTCCATTATCAGAGAACTGGAACCTTGAGCGCAACAGTAAGCCACTAGCATCTGGAGAATCAGAGCAATGTGTGTAAACTAACTCAGTCACCCATTTATTTTCCACACAAAGCTAGACACTGTAGGCTAAGCAGTCAGCCAGTTTACTGCAGCCGTAACAAAAAGCTCTCAAGACCACTAGAACTTGAGAAGGAGCACAGACTTAGTAGACAATGGATTTCAGGACACAAATAACCTGTGTGTAAAAAGTGTGAGTGGCATTTCAAAGCTTTCTCACTGCAAAGTCGTACCAGCAGCATGATTAGCTATGAAGTACGCTGCAAGCGCTTATTTCACTTTAGGTGTCACTAATTATACACAAATACTATTTGTAAAAGAACATCAGCCCTTCGTAACAGATTCTGAAGGCCATATGAGTGGCAGCTGCTGCAAATTCCTGATTACTACCTGTTCAGAAAAACTTCATCATTTTC